ATCTGGGTTATAATAATAATAGAACTATGAAGAAAATGCCAAGGGCATCACACACAGGTAGAGTCTATTAAATGCCTGGTGGAGCTGGGGGTGACGTGTATGGGCCTTCCCATGTGAGCAAGAGAAAAAGGAAAGTACCTTCCAGAGCAGAGGAGTTTTTAGTGGTGCAGTGGTTTTGGTAAACTTGGAGAAAATTGATGGGGCTTGAGTGTGTGAAACATGGGAGATAATTGTGGCAGATAAGCTGAAGAAGCATTTGGGGACATGATATTTCTGAAAATTTCTCATCTCTAAAAAATCTTACAGGTATCAATGAACAGTTGGTATAACCAGATTTTTAAATATGATGCTTCTGGCTTCAGTGTGGTGGTAGTCACAGGACGTGGTGGTGAGTAGAAACCATGTAAGGAGGTGATGATAGTAAGAAGTGAGTGAGGATACACACATATCCAGCTTTGGTCGCCTCTCACTTGCTGTGCCTTGACTGCTCATTGTCACGCTTTGCCCAGTTTCTGTCTCCTTCTTCCTTAGTAGTCAAAGTTTGAAAATTTCAGAGGTTAGAGTTCCTTTGAAGAAAGTTATTTGTCTTGGCAATCACTTCTTAATTGTCTTCTTAGAATCAGTGGGGAAATTAGCCTTCAAAGCTATTTTAAGGATTAATTAATAATTCTGAAAGGCTCCAGAAGCTTAAAAGCCTTATGTAGACTCTGGAGTGTTCAGTAATAATCAAAGTGATAATCAGAGCACAGCAGGACTCAGTGGGGTGTGCAAATCCATTCATGTCTTGCATTGCCTATGGGCTGTGTGGTTTGCCGTGTCTCCGTAAGTGAGTGAGTCAGGGTAAGGAGAGGCCCTGCTGCTAAAGTAGAAAAGAATCAATGCCTACGACTGACAGTACAAGCTGAAAAAAGCTTGTTTAAAGTTGATCTTAATATGTGGCACCAAAGCACAAGTAACCAAAGAAACAGATGGATTATTTGGAACTTATCAAAATGAAAAACTTCCGTGCTTCAAAGGTTACTATCAAGAAATTAAGAAGAGGGCTGGGTGCAGTGGCTCACGTCTGTAATCCCAGCACTTTCGGAGGCCAAGGTGGGCAGATCACTTGAGGTCAGGAATTCGAGACCAGCCTGGCCAACATGGCACCTCTACTAAAAATACAAAAATTAGCCAGGCTTGATGGCACACACCTGTAATCCCAGCTACTTAGGAGGCTGAGGCAAGAGAATCACTTGAACCTGGGAGGTGAAGGTTGCAGTGAACTGATAATCACACCATTGCATTCCAGTCTGGGTGACAGAATGAAACTCTGTCTCAAAACAAACAAAAAAAAAGCGAATCTTATATCTGATCAGGGACTTGTGTCTAGGATATGTAAAGAACTCTTAGACTCAATAAAAAAGACATTTCAAAAATAGGCAATGGATAGGAATAGACATTTCACCAAAGAAGACATACCAGTGGCCAATAATCACATGAAAAAAATGCTCAGTATCATTAGTCACCAGGGACATGCAATTCAAAAACCACAATGAGATGCCACTTTACACCCACTAGGATGGCTATAATAAAAAAGACAGATAATTTTTGGCAAGAATATGGAGAAACTGGAATCCTCATACACTGCTGGTAGAAATGTAAAATGGTGCAACTACCATGGAAAGTTTGGCAGTTCCTCAAAAGGTTAAATATAGAATTATCTTATGACCCAGCAATTCCACGAATAGGTACATACTGCAAGATAAATGAAGGCATATGTCCACACAAAAGCCTATACAAGAATGTTTAATGCAGCATTATACGTAATAGACAAAAAAGGAAACAACCCAAATGGTCATCGATCGATGAATGGATAAGTAAATTATGATCTGAAAAAAAAGAAACAATTTTTCTCCTCTACTCATGCAGTCACTCAACACTTCTAATGTGTACAGGGTTTTCTCCACACACCAAGCAATTCTCCAGCAGATGCAAACTGGGTATCCTATACTTTTACTCAATTCTGCCACTAACTACTTGAAGACAGTATCAGATCCCACAGGTTGAGGGCTCAGTCAGCACCACTCCTCCAGTTTCAGATGCCAATCGCAGGTTGTTACCTATATGTCTAACTGAGGGATTCCCATGATCCTCTTCTTTGGTTCAGTTTATTTGCTAGAGCAGGGCCAGGTGTGATGGCTCACGCCTGTATTCCCAGTACTTTGGGAGGCTGAGGCAGGAGGATTACTTAAGCCCAGCAGTTGGAGACAGGCCTGGGCAACATAGTGAGACCCTATGTCTACAAAAGATTAAAAAATTAGCCGAACTTAGTGGCATGTGCCTGTAGTGCCACCAACTCTGGAGGTTGAGGTGGGAGGATCCTTTGAGCTCAGGAGGTCAAGGCTGCAGTGAGCTGTGATCGCACCACTGCACTCCAGTGCTTGCTGGGTGACAGCAAGACCCCGTTTCAAAAAAGAATAGAATTACTAGAGCAGATCACAGAACCCAGGGGAACACTCACATTTACTGGATAATTATAAAGAATATTTTCAGGATACAGACGAACTGCCAGTTGGCTGGTGTGGAACATGGAGCTTCCATGCCCTTTCCAGACACGTCACCCTCCAGGCACGAGCTCAGCAATCCAAAACCTCTCCAAACCCTGTCCTTTGGTTTTTTTTATGGAGCTTTCATTAAGTATGTATGATTGATTGCATCACTGGCCATTAGTGATTAGCTCAACCTACCGCCCCTGTTCCCTTTCCAGAGGTTGAGGGTGAGGTTGAAAGTTATAGTCCTGTAGTCAAGTCCTGGTCTTTCCTGACCAGCCCCCATCTTGTAACTACCTAGGGACTCCCAGCCATCAGATATTCACTTTTGAATATCTTTTTTGTACTCAAAAGTATAAACCCAGAGTTCTAGAGATTCTAAGAGCTTTAGAAACCATGTGCCAGGAATTAGAGGCACAGACCAAATATATGTCTCTTATTTTATCTCACTATCACATATGGTATTCCTTTCTTTCTTTTTTTTTTTTTCCAGACAGAGTCTTGCTGTGTAGCCTAGGCTGGAGTGCAGCGGTGTGATCTCCACTCACTGCAACCTTCGCCTCCTGGGTTTGAGTGATTCTCCTGCCTCAGCCTCCCAAGTAGCTGGGACTACAGGCGCCCACCACCACGCCCGGCAAATTAAAAAAAATGTTTTTAGTAGAGACAGGGTTTCACTATGTGGCCAGGCTGGTCTTGAACTCCTGACCTTGTGATCCACCTGCCTTGGCCTCCCAAAGTGCTGGGATTACAGGCATGAGCCACCACGCCTGGACCACATAAGGCATTTCTATACAATGGAATATTATTCGGCAACAATGGGTAATGAAGTACAGAGGGTCCCTGACTTAAGATGGTTTAACTTTAAGATGGTGTGAACAGCCAGGCGCAGTGGCTCATGCATGTAATCCCAGCACTTTGGGATCACCTGAGGTCAGGAGTTCAAGACCAGCCTGGCCAACATGGTGAAACCCTGTCTCTACTAAAAATACAAAAATTTGCCAGGCATGGTGGCACACACCTGTAGTCTCAGCTATTTAGGAGGCTGTGGCACGAGAATTGCTTGGATCCAGGAGGTGGAGGTTATAGTGAGCCGAGATCACGCCACTATACTCCAGCCTGGGCAATGGAGTCAGACTCTGTCTCCAAAAAAAAAGAGATAATGTGAATGATCTGATTTTCACTTTTAGTACAGTATTCAATAAATTACATGAAACATTCAGTACTTTATTCTAAAATAGGCCTTGTGTTGAATGATTTTGCCCAATTGTAGGCTAACATATGTATTCTGAGCACATTTAAGGTAGGTTTGGCTAAGCTATGATGTTCAGTAGGTTGGATGTGTAAAATGCATTTTCAATTTATGATATTTTCAATGGGACGTAACCCCACCATAAGTGGAGTAGCATCTGTACTGATAATGTGCTACAATATGTGTGAACCTTGAAAATACTATGCTAACACTATGCCTGAAAGAAGCCAGACACAAGAGGGCTTCATATTACGAAAAACTACATATTATATGGAGTTTAATACTCCGTAAACTACGAAAACTATATATATGTTACCATTTATAGGAAAAGTCCAGTATTTATAGAGACAGAACAGTTAGTGATTGCCAGGGTAGGGGGAGTGGGGGATTGGGGAGTGACTGCTGAAGGGAACAGAGTTGTTTTAGTTTGCTCTGGCTGCCATGAGAAACTACCATAGATGGGTGGCTTAAACAATGGAAAGTTACTTTTCAAAGTTCCAGAGGCTGAAAGTCCAAGACACTGGGACCCGCGTGGTTGGGTTCTTGTTGAAAGCTCTCCTCCCAGTTTGCAGACAGCTGTCTTCTTGTACCTTCACATCCTCATGTGGCTGAGAGCAGAGAGAGAGGAAGCAAGCCCTCTCCTGATTCTTCTACGAAGGGCACTAACCCCATCAGGAGGGCGTCACCTCATGACCTGATCACCTCCCCAGGGCTCCACCTCCAGATGTCGTCACACTGGGGATTAGGGCTTAACGTGTGAATTTTGTGGGAACACATTCAGTTCATAGCAAGTGTTTCTCTTTGGGCTGATGAAAATAATCTGAAGCTGGTGGTGGTGATAGTTGCAGTACAACACTGAATATACTAAAACCATTGAACTGTGCACTTTAAATGGGTGAATTGAATGGTATGTGAATTATATTTCAATAATACTGTTCAAAAAAAAAAAAAAAGGAAGTTGATAGTAAAGAGCCAAAGGGAAAGCTGGGCTGCTGGGTAGGGATGGGGTAGTCAAGGGAGAGGACCTCCCCAGGTCAATTTCTTAACCTGTCTCTCCATTAGGTTATTGTATGTGGTTTTTGAGGGTTTGTTGTTGAAAACATGGATGTGGGCTGGCCCCAGAGGCTCACACCTGTAATCCCAGTGCTTAGGAGGCTGAGGTGGACAGATCACTTGAGCACCAGTGTTTAAGACCAGCCTGGGCAACATGGTGAAATGCTGTGTCTACAAAAAAATTAGCTGGATGTGGTGACATACACCTGTAGTCCAGCTACCTGGGGACTGAGGCAGGAGGATTGCTTGAACCTGGGAGGTCGAGGAGGTCAAGGCTGCAGTGAGCCAAGATCGTGCCACTGCACTTAAGCCTGGGTGACAAAGTAAGACGCTGTCTGCGAACAAACAGAAAAACCTGAAAACGTGGATGGGTCTAAAATTTTTTTTTTAGAGACAGGGTCTTGCTCTGCCACACAGGCTGGAGTGCAGTGGCACAGTTATGGCTCACTACAGCCTCAAAGTCCAGGGGTTAAGGAATCCTCCTACCTCCGCTTCCCAAAGAGCTAGGATTGCAGGTGTGAGCCCCTGCACTGGTCTTGCATTTTCCATTCCTCTACCAAACCTGGCTCCATTTGCTTGTTAAAAAAGCAGTGAGCATTAGTGGAATGTTAATGGTCTGAACGACTTTAACTTCCCATCTGGCTGTTACTCTCCAGGAAGTCTCTTTTCATTTGATTGCGACTGATTAGAGGTTTTTGTTCATGTTCCATTTGATGTGGCTCATTTAGAGTAAATCTAGTGGGTGATTTGCCCTCCTCTTATGTCCGGCATTCCAAAGAGCTCTCGTTTAGACACTGTGTCTGCTTCATCAATAGCAAATGATCACATTTCTGAGCAGCCAGCATGCCAAAAGTATGGAAGGCAAAGTGAGGGCTGAACTGGGCGTAGGAGAACCTGGAAAACTTCTTTCCTTGTCTTTACGTGACAGGCAGTGGGTACAGCACAGTATGTCACTTTGGAAAGTCATCTGCCTGGGGCAGCTGTGATATGGTATTTCACAACAAACCTGTGGCTTTCACCCAACTTGCCAGATGCCAGCTTGGCCAAGATACATCCATCCACTCAGCAGACTGGCCCATGCTGGGATTCTGCAGACACAATTAAAACATTTGGGTGTCAAAAGATCGAGACCATCCTGGTCAACATGGTGAAACCCCATCTCTACTAAAAATACAAAAAATTAGCTGGGCATGGTGGCGCGTGCCTGTAATCCCAGCTGCTCAGGAGGCTGAGGCAGGAGAATTGCCTGAACCCGGGAGGCAGAGGTTGCGGTGAGCCAAGATCGTGCCATTGCACTCCAGCCTGGGTAACAAGAGCGAAACTCCATCTCAAAAAAAAAAAAATTGGGGTGTCTTACCTCCATACTGTGGCCTGGTTGGTTGAGATGCAGTTGCCTTGCAGACGAGTCGACACATTCGGCCCTCAGTAGAAGTTCCTCATGGTAGGTTAATGACAGTCACTAGTCAAGTCAATATGGTCATAACTTGAATCATCTAAAAGGAATGAAATGGTTCCTTTTATTGGTTTATCAATTCATAGTCTAAAAGAGGAAGTTAGCCTGTCACCTGGGCACCTGTGGAAGCCTCTGGTGTTCCATGTGGAAGATGCATCCTTCAGAACACAGCTTGTCTTTCTTTCTATAGATTTGGATATTATAAGGAGACAGAATCTAGGGCTGTGGCTGGTGACCTACTTCCTTCTTATGGTGAAGAAGGTCAGGGAGCTAAAGGGAGAAAGAGAAAAAGAGGGAGGGAGAATTAAGAAAAGGAAGGAAAGACAGAGAGAGAGTGAACAAGAGAGCCACAGAAAAAGAATCAGTATAATGAATGAGAAGAAACAAAGGATCTGAAAAAAAGAATAGGGAGAAGGAGAAATTCTGTTGTGAAATGAGAGGAAAAGAGAATGCAGGCTGAGCATGGTGGCTCACGCCTATAATCCCAGCACTTTGGAAGGCTCAGGTGGGCAGATCACTTGAAGTCAGGAGTTTGAGACCAGCCTGGCCAACATGGCAAAACCCCATCTCTGCTGAAAAATACAAAAATTATTTGGCAATGGTGGCATGCACCTGTAACCCCAGCTACCTGGGAGGCTGAGGCAAGAGAATCACTTGAATCTGGGAGACAGAGGTTGCAGTGAGCCAAGACTGTGTCACTGCATTCCAGCCTGGGCGACAGAGTGAAACTAAAAAAAGAAGAAGAAAAAGAGAATGCAAATGCAGGAGAGAACAGGAGAACAAGTTAGGATGGGTAAAGGTATATGGAGTGCTGAAAAACATACCTCTTATGAATTCTTCCTTCTTTATCCCAGAAACTCGATTGTTGCCAACAGCCTGGAGCTTGCGGACTTCTCTTAAAAACCTAGCTCATGCCCTCTCTGTGCACACCATGTAGTCACCTGAGAGTATTCCAGTGCTTTCGTTGGTTCTTCTGCCTCCATCTGCTCTCTTCTTTCTTTTACCCTCCCCAACACTTGGTCCCTAAAATAGTAGTACTTTAGATCTAGAAGCAACCTCCTAGAAGGGCTAAGATTTGGCTCTTTCACTTTACAGCTGAAGAAAAAGAAATCCAGCAAAATTAAATGACTTGTCTAAGGTCCTATAACCAGCGGATTGCACGGCTGGACTAGGGGGCAGAGCTTCCATCCCACGGGTGCAGGCCAGGTCCTGAGGGACCCACTTCTCTCTGTAGAGAGCTGTCTCTGCTGCTTACATCCTGGGTAAATCCTCATTGGCAAAGAAGAAGGTGGCCAACAAAGTCCTAGCTCTGCCAGCTTCTTTCATTGTCAGGAAACAGGTGTCGCAGTTACTTTTTATTTTCTCCTTTCAGTGCGGGGATGAAGTGGAGGCTGGCTGGTTTCCTATTGCACAGATTCTCATTCTTTTTCCCTTGGATTCTGCTTGGCCATCTGCTGATGGCTCCTTCTGGATCTAACCCAGGTTATCTGGAATAGTGCAGGTGGGGATGGGTGAAGAGCATTCAAACGGAGGTTTTTGACGGCAGTGGGCAGCAGGATGGAATCTCACTTTACCCTACCGATTCTCAGCTGGGGTGATTCTGCCCCACCCAGGGAACTTTCAGTAATGTCTGGAGGCATTTTTGGTTGTTACATCTAGGGGGCGCTACTAGCATCTAGTGGATAGAGACCAGGGATACTGCTAAACATTCTCCAATGCACAGACAACACCCCATAAGAGTCATCCCGCCACGATGTCAGCAGTGTTACCCAACTGAACTTGAGTCTTCTCGCCCAGCATGCACAAAGATCCAAACCCTGATACTAGGATTTGCAGGGAAAGTTAGGCGTTTGTGGCAGGATGGCAAACAGAGAGAACTGAGCAGCGAATGCCTAAGACCTGAACTCTCCAATGGCTTACAAATGAGGGAAGTTTTGTTTTGTTTTGTTTTGTTTTGTTTTGTTTTGTTTTGTTTTGTTTTGAGACAGAATCTTGCTTTGTCACCCAGGCTGGAGTAGAGTGGCCCAATCTCAGCTCACTGCAACCTCCCACTCCCAGGTTCAAGCGATTCTCCTGCCTCAGACTCCCAAGTAGCTGGGATTACAAATGTCCACCACCATGCCCAGCTAATTTTTGTATTTTTAGTAGAGATAGGGTTTTACTATGTTAGTTAGGCTGGTCTCAAACTTCTGACCTCAAGTGATCAGCCTGTCTTGGCCTCCCAAAATGCTGGGATTACAGGAGTGAGCCACCGCACCTGGCTCCAACTGAGGGGTTTTAAAGGCAGGGGTTCATTTCAAGAAAGCAGAAGTTACAAGCATAATCGTAAATCACTACATGGGGATTATACATTGGTTTGGACCAAAAAGATGGGATATCTTGAAATGAGGGTTACAGATCATAGGTGGATTCAAAGATTTTTTGGTTTGCAATTGGTTAAGGAAGTAAGAATTCATCTGAAACCTTGGGGTACGCAGGAAGGAATGTCAAGGTTTGGCTTGTGGGCATGACTCTCTCAGACCCCTCAGGAAGAAATGTACAACAAAGAACTGTCATCAGAGTTCAGTTTTCACTTCCCCCTTGTTTGAGGTTTGAGTGACAGCAATTGGCATTTTCCATCTGGTAGGGGTTCAGGTTTCTGAAAAACAACTCAGGGACATATGTCGAGATGTTATCTTTAATTTCTTTTTTTTTTGGAGATGGAGTTTCGCTCTTGTTACCCAGGCTGGAGTGCAATGGCGTGATCTCGGCTCACCGCAACCTCCACCTCCTGGGTTCAGGCAATTCTCCTGCCTCAGCCTCCTGAGTAGCTGGGATTACAGGCACGCACCACCATGCACAGCTAATTTTTTGTATTTTTAGTAGAGATGGGGTTTCACCATGTTGACCAGGATGGTCTCGATCTCTTGACCTCGGGATCCACCTGCCTCGGCCTCCCAAAGTGCTAGGATTACAGGCGTGAGCCACCGCGCCCGGCCCTATCTTTAATTTCTATAGGGAACCAAATATATCGTGACTCTCATGTACGGGGGTGACAATTCTTGCTTAGCAGGTTATTCATTCACTTCCCTAGTTGCTGGCTGCATGGCTAGCTAGGTACCCAGAATTTCCTTTGAAGGGACTCAAATTTTTCTTTATTTTCAGGCTGAGGGGTAGCTGGGCAGGCCCCTAAGAGGGATCCCTGCTCCATCTCAATAATGTTGAGGTGAAAGAATTTTGCTTTGCCTGAATCTTTTCTTAGCAGAAGTTCAGTGCTCATGGCCTAGGATAGTCAGAGGCCCTTTTTCCTACCTGGGTAGTAGTGCCTGGGCACAGTTTAGTGCAGATACTTGAACTTGGACAAGCTGCCTGAGATGATAACCCAGAATTTCAGGTTTAATTAATTTAAAAAGTCAAGGTTTGCTAAAAAACAGGCAGAATTCTCATCTCCTTTCCCATTTCTATAGCCCAGCAGCCACAGCTTACCTGCTTCTCTGCTTAGGGTGACATCTTAAAAGGGTAGAAATAAGGACTCTTAGATGTGGGCTTCCAGTGTCAAAGTGTGGTGCTGAATAAATAGAACTCTGTGAGTTGTCACGATGGAGAATTAAACCAGAAAGGAAATGAGCATGAGATGGAAGGAGGAGAGGCAGATATTTAAAAAGGCAAAATAGATCCTCCTGTTTGCAGCAGTCAAGTTGAAACCAGCCATAGCTGTAGGGAAGAAATTAGGGAGAGATTATCATCTTAGTGATTGTCCTATAAAATTGCTCTAGGCCAAAGGGGCTGCTTTAACATTTTTGTAATTTAACCTCTTTTTACCTTCCTGAGCCACAGCATGCATTTGTGTTTCTAATAAGCTGTCTTCTTCCAGGAAGGGATTTGGTGATGTTTCTGCCTGTGCTCACCTATGAGAAAAGGGGTGCTACGTGTTCTGAGACATTCTAGCCTCCCCTGAATGGATAATCCATATGACATAAAAATATGCTATTACATAATCCGTTTCCAGGTAAAATAATTGCCACTTCCATCTTAATAACTCACTTTTGTTCTAGTTTATTAAAAAAGTTGACTCACATTGATTTTATTTCTATATGCTCAATTTCTTTTTTCTCCTAGTAATAGAGGTCGTTAGTAAGGAAAAAGTTTTTCATCCTTTCATTGATTCTCAGTTACTCTAAAGACCCAGACTTGTTAATTTCCAATCTGCCTACATTCTAGCTCATTTATCAGAACTTTTTATCCCCTCTATTTCAAGCTATATTCTAAAAAAAAACTTTCCAACTGTTCATTACTTGTGTTTTTTTCCTTTTCAATGAATCTGGGAATGTTTAATGAATCCCTGCTGGCTGTGCGTTACTGTATTTAGAGCTGTGGCATGTATGTGGCATGCATAGCTGTGCATAAGGCGGCATCTGAACTCTCTTGGAACCACAGGGAATTCCAGTCTGTGCTCTTGGAGGTTGTGTGAGGGGGGGAAAGAAGAGACTACTTGTAAGACTTTGACACTGTATTTTGATCTACCTTTTCCATTCTTATCTTTAAAAAAAAAAAGTGGTAAAATATACATAACATTTACCATTGTCACCATTTTTAAGTGTACAATTCAATGGCACTAACTAAGTACATTTGATGCAGAATTTTTGCTTCTTGATGTGCTTGGTAAGTTCAGCTAAATCCAGGTTCTTGTGTCATGACCAGGAAAAAATTAGACGTGGACAGATTGAAGGGTGAGGAGAACAGAACTTAATGGGCAAAAAGGAAAAAAGAAAAAAAAACAGAGACAGAGTCCAGCCAATGGGCTCCCACCTCATCTATCGAAGAGGCCACGACACAGGAGCTGAAGAGACGGGGATCCTCCTCCAGGCCCAAGGTGCCAACTTCCCGTAGCTCCATGCCATCCTCCCGGTATGCAGGCGGGTTCCTAGCCCATTGTAGGCATGCACACACAAGACCCTGGGCAGGCCCGCTCATCTGCACAAAAGCATCTGATGTAAACACTTGAGAGTTTGGTTGGAGATTCTCCGGGGACCCCCCTTATCAGCCTCCTGCACCTGTCACATTCGTGTTGTATGGCCATGCCCATCTTTCATCTCCTGAACTTATTCATCATCCCATCCAAAACTCTGTACCTATCAAACAATAACTCCATTCTGTCCTCCTCCCGGCTCCTGGTGACCACTCTTCTACTTTCCGTCTCCATGAATTTAACTATTGTAGGTAGCTCATATAAATGGAATCACGCAGTAGTTGTCCTTTTGTGACTGTTTATTTCCCTTACCCTCATATCCTCAAAGTTCATCCCTGTCATAGCGTGAGACAGGATTTCCTTCCTTTTTAAGGCTGGATAATATTCTGTTGTATGTATATGCCACATTGTCTTTAGCTACTCCTCTGTTGATGGACAGTTGAGCTGTTTCTATCTTTTGGTGACTGTGACTAATGCTGTTGTAAACACGGGTACAGTCCCAGTCCTTATCTTTAAAACCATATCTGCAGGTGAAATCATTGAAAAAAATTGGCAAATGATGCCTCTCCATATCCATACATATATACGTGCATTTATCTAGTTATATGTGCTAGGTGTCATTATGTGGTGGCAATCATTTTTTTCTGGCTTGAAATCCTAAGCCAGAACAATATCATCTCATGCCCTTGCTCCACGTCCTCCTTTCTCTCCACGAAATCTCTCTCTCCCCCCACCACCATCTCCTCTTTCTCCTACTTCAATTCAGTTTAGCAAACTTTTATTGTTGTTACCTTTTTGGGTGCAAGATGCTCTGGAAATTTTGAAGAATAAAACTGGCCTTGGGTTTTTCATGGTCTCTTATTGGAGACAAGACCCACAGTAGCAGTTGAGTGAGTTGGGCTGTGGACCTGCTGTGGTGGCCAGGCTTATGAAAGGATGGCAAAGATGAGGGAAAACGCATTCTGGCCAGAGAAAATGACCCACGCAAAGGGTGTGGGATGAAAAATGTTGGGAATATTTCATTCGAAGTTGTTTTTATTTGTATGTGGCCTTTAAATATTTTTAATTATTAGGATGTGCTTGGTAAGTTCCCTACTTGGGAGTAATAGTGATTTCTCAACTCTGTATTGTTGATTTTGTAGAGGAAATTTCCCTTTAATAATTTGTTTTAAAAGAAGTACATTTTTGCTGGGTGCAGTGGCTCATGCTTATAATGCCAGCACTTTGGGAGGCCGAGGTGGGCAGATCACAAGGTCAGGAGATCAAGACTATCCTGGCCAACATGGTGAAACCCCGTCTCTACTAAAAATACAAAAATTAGCTGAGTGTGATGGCACGTGCCTATAATCCCAGC